GGAATGCAAGGCATTTAGTTATGGCTGAGAGTTAATGATCATCAGAATATAAAATCACAAACAGATCAAACCTTTAAATCTGAACTCTTTATTGCTTCAAATGTGATTTTTTCAGGTTGAATGTCTGTAATTTCAGTTACTTGAGTAGTAGCCAGTAAACCACATGTTGTCATATAATGTCATTAATGCCTCAGTTTCCTCTTTTCTTAAGAAGGCAACCTCTATCAGATAAACACAATAATGCCTATTATCTACAACTCTCAATGTTACGGAATTCCTTTTTCTTGGAAAAACTGTCTTCTGAGTATTTCCGTAGATTTTTACTTATTTTATGTATCTCTAGGTTGTTTTAATAGGTGACACTATAAACCCTCTATATTTACATGAAGGCATTATTAATCTGAACAGCAACTCTTTGTCCACTATTTTCATCTGTCATATGACAAGTGATTAGTGACGTTGATAATGGTTTAACAACAGATGCTGGTTCATGAATAGCAGTAGGTCTTTTTCAGTAAAAGCCATAAAGATCTTGTGATATTGACTTTCTTTAAGTCCATGGTTACAGGAAAGGGAATTATAATGCACTCAATGATTGTCAGCTTATTTCTGGTGAACGAGCTGTATGCTGTTTTCTGGAATTTAAGTGCTCTGGAAGAACTGCTTTCTCAGCGTAGTAAGACCTTAGGGAGACTTGCCTTGCCTCAAGGTAGTTCTGGCAAACAACTCCTTTCTCCTTGTCACTAGATGCTGCACATTTGAAAGCAAGACTGCCATACATTAACAGCATGACAAAATGCTACCTGGAGAAGGTTTGGGAAGAATCTTCAAACTAAGCATATAAGTAAATGCCTCTTAAACAACAGAGGAATTTTTAAAGAACATATTGTTCTTGGGTATCACCACAAAAATCTGCTCAGGTTCCCCCTGAGGTAAACTTTCCTATCCAAACATTGGTTAGCTTATGAACCCTGAAATGGCAAAGTTCACTTGCTTTTTTGCTGTTGGGGAATCAGAATATTTTCAGAAAAGCACTGCCAATTAATACAAGTTCTGTAATAAATCTAGAACACGCAATCAGTAAAATTGCTAATGATCTCCTTTAGAATCTATGTGTTCATACTTCACATGAGTAAAAGGTCAAGGAATCTCAAAAATACTGACAGGATGTTTGTTGAACAGAATGCCAACTTTAAGGATGTATCTTGACTGCAAAATCAATCACCTAGCTTAATTGATTTAGCAACAGAGTATTAGACATGAAAGAAATCCAAGATAAAACCTTGTATAAGAGAAGTACAATGTGTTTTTTTGAAATTGTAGCTGTTTAGCTGAAGATTCATGTCTTGAAATGAGATTATTTTAATTTACTTTTTTATGATGGAACTACTTTGACAGACTTCTTAACTGATTTACAGTGAGTTCAGAAATGAATTGCCAAACTTTGTGAAGCAAAGGGACTTTGTGAATTGAGCTAAAGGGTATCATATAAAAAAGCTACATTAAGTCCACCACTGCAAGTCCCATATGTCTTCCTGATTGCAGAGACCTCCTCCGCTGCTTCTCATAGCTGATATCCCTAGAGAGCCTCTGAACACCTATATATTGTATATGATTTATTATCACATCTTAAATCAGATTATCTGGAAAGGACTGAATTTCATTGTTCCCCAAAGAGTAACTGTTCACATAAACCTGTCTTATCTCAAATCACCTTAGCTGTCTTCTTGGGTTCTAATCTCCTTACAGTGAATCTGAATCACCCATGAGAGCTCCACTTTATTCTGAAGTTTGTATAAATATACTTTGCTGATTATCAGGATCATTAGCTAACTGCTACATACCAGAATATTTTTAAAAGGGTACTGAGGACCCAGCAAACAACTATGATGAATCACTCCATAATGCACTACAGAATGTTTTTTTTTCATGAATTAGATAACAGAAGATTATATTTTCCAGACAGCATGTGTTAAACATAAGCAGGTCAGGCCCACAAGGAGCTTTGTGAGGGTGGAGGGTGGGCCTGGGGGCTGAGTGGAGATCCCCTAGCAGCTGGAAAAGGTTCTGGGTGTGGTTGGCACCCAGAACCTGGGTCCAGTGGGGGTGTCACACTGCTGCGGTTAGCACTGTGGGGGACACCCCGATGAAAGATGCTTCTCAACCTGTGCCATGGTCTTTCGGTCTGCAGGAGGGCTGTGGATTTGCAATGGGGATCTTGGAGGGTGATTTGTGACCTCCAGGGGTTGTTTGGTGGGAGCAGAATAACAGAGCACTGGCTGGCACAGGCTGCCCAGAGAGGCTGAGGAGGCTCCTTCTCTGGAGACGTTCCAAACCCATCTGGATGTGTTCCTGTGGGATCTACTGTAGGTGATGATGCTCTAGCAGGGGGTTGGACTACATGATCTCCAGAGGTTCCTTCCAACCCTGAAAACAGTGATAACTATGGCTGCATGCTGCTTGATGAAAATTTCTGGTGTTACTCACTTCACTGCATGCTCAACAAAAGTCATCTCTTTGACATTTAATGGAAGGGTAGCATTATGTGTCACATGTTGACTATGTGACTGTTCTCATGATAGAACGTGCCTTAGAATTCTACACCACATGAGGATGTCTTCACCCGAGCTCCTCTGTATGAGTGGACATCAGTGGCACACAGAAGTGATCTGCCACAGCAATCATGGGGAGGCACAACATCCTCTCTTTCCACTCTCCAAAGACTTTTGCTTCAATCATCATGTGTCAGACTCATGTAAAATGCATGCAACTCCAGGAAACAGGTCAGGAACCACAGGGTACTGCACTCACAATGTATCTCAGATACAATTTATAAGTTGCTGTAACTCCTGTGTTACAGCTAGACATAATCTTGGATGCTGTCCTCCAGACTCATGAAATCCTGCCTATAGGGTTTGAAGGCTGCCAACAACTATCCTTTGCTATCACAATTGTGCTATGTACTCAATCCTCCATCTTGATTGAGTCCTCCTCCAATGATATAACCATTAAAACAAAAGAAAGTCAGTATGACTGTTGCTGGCAGTCAGCTGCACTAGATGTTCATCCCCAGAATTAGGGTTAGACAGAACACATCCCAAAGGAGTGGCTGATGTCCAACATTTCCACGTTCACAGTGGTAGAGTCAGACACATATTTTAACTAGATTATGTTAGTGGGACTGCCTACATTACCTATGTAATTAACTAAGAGAGGGAGCATGGCCAAAGTTAATGATATTGAATATCCATGTTCAGGTCTTCGGAGACACTTTCCATTGAGTATAAAAGGGACATAAGTAATATACATAGCTGCTTGAGCTGGATTATATTGGTTCCTAACACTTCAAAGTATAGACAAGTAGAACATATAATTAAGGTAGACTGGATCCAGCACTCACTCACTCTGATTTGAATGAATGGGTTTGTCTTTTATATGCAAATGGAACTGGATTCTTGACTATATCTTTGAGTTTTTAACCCTCAAACAGTATGTCCTGGTTTGAGCCAGGATGAAGCCAAAGACGACAACTTCCTTCCTGCTTCTTCTTCCCTTCTCTTCCGTCCATGGCTGTCATCCAGGGAGGACTCCCTCCATCCATCCATCACCACTGATCCCCAGGCTCATGCATCCCTGACCCTCATCACTCTCCCCTCAACTTCTGTCTGCTCTGTGCTCTCTCCGGCAGCTCCAGGATATTTTGGGACTGTTCACAGCTCAGGAGATGCTGTGGGAGTTGCTGGGGAAGGTGGGAGGCAATAGGGTGTTGCACATTCCCTGAACACATTTATATATAACTACATATTTTCTTTTATCGTTACTGTTTAATTAAAGCTGTGCAGTTTAGTTTCCAATCCAAAAAGTCTCCCTCTCATTCTCTCTCTCCTTCCCTACCTGGGTGGAAGGGGGAGGGATCGAGACCATTGCTGTCACTGGTTTAATTGCCCATTCTGAGTCAAACCGTGACACAGTAACTGTTGGCTTTCAAATGTATCAATAACATGAAATTTTAAAAACCATAGTGTGCTTTATTGCACAATTTTGGCCTACACGTTTCTCCTTAGGCAAGAACTTGTTTTAAATGACTTCTACATATGAAAAAAAAAAAAACAAACAACCAAACAACTTCTACCTGAATGACAAATAGATAATGCATATTACTTGTATGAGTAAGAACATGATCTGATCAGTCACCTGCAGATGAACATGCAAAGCTCTTGATAATTGGTTTTGATCACACAGAACTTCTGATGACAATAACTGGAAAAACATGGACTTGTGATTGTCAGTACAAGCATGCAACTCCTATTTACTTCTTAAAATTTTTGGTTGGTGAAGTGTATATCTTACTATGTCATCTCACCCCCTGCCCATGAGATATTGAAATCTCAAAATATATTTTTCCCACATGGTTACTTGTCAGTTCTGTAAATACACACTCTAAGACTAGGATACCAACCTACTGTTCCAAATCTGAGCTGAAACCAGGAAAAACTTTTCACATGAATAGCAGTTATTAGAAAGAGGTCCAGATACTGATATTAAACAGGATTAAATGCAGATAAAAATTAAGTCTGGAACTTCTATCCTTGAATTTAAGTATTGAGATTAAAAACATTTCATAATTTATAAATGCATAAGTAAAGAAAGACCTAGAAGATGTATTTATTCACAAATTTTCATGCAATATTAACAAAAAAAAAAAATCACAAAAATATTCACAAATACACCTTTCCATGAAATCTATGCTAAATATGGTTACTTTCTCTTACTATGCTCTCCAATATGTGTATCAAATTATGCACTCTTGTGTCCAGTGAGTTGGAAGTAAGATAATCTTCTGCAATATGGTAGTATTCAGTAATATCACCATGCTGATAATACAAAGGTTAAAGACTGATACACTTTAGAAAACCAGATCCAGTATTAATTCTCAACACTGCAAGAAATAAAACAGCTCCTATTTATAAATACAATAAAAGTTACCATGTGGAACTTACTGTGCTGGCAGTGAATCCCATTAAATCCCTCTGGACATTTACAAACATATCCTATGAATGTGTCACCTCGGTACGCTTCACTAATTTCGCATATCCCACCATTATGGCATGGATTAGGAAGGCAGGGTCCTGAGAAAGGGGGGGAAAAAAACGAGAAGTATATATACATACATAATAACTACCATAATAATGTCAGTCATTTATATGCATTCATTAAAAAAATAAAATCTCTTATGTAAACCTTTAAATTCCACTAATCCACTTCCCTTCACTAATCCACAATATACCCTTCACTTAATTCAGATAACTTGCCAGCAAAGATTTTTATGAACAAGAAGAAACAGGAAACATGTCACTATTCATTAATCACAACATTATTTTTTAATGTAAGAGAAGACAGAAGACAGAGAAGCTAAATCTTGCTCTCCTATTAAAGATAACAGGCATTCTAACTTTTATACCACTGAGGAAATCTGTATTAATCAAAAGTGCTTATCATGTACAAAGAGATAGGCACAATATTCCTGAATAATCACTACATGTCAAGTTAGCAGTTTGAGAAGATCTTTGCTTTGGCTTTGGGTGACTTTCTGACCATGTGACTCTCAGGGTCAGCAGTTACCAGCTACTAAAACAACTACCCCTTTTCCATTGTTTGCCTTTAGCACAACCATAGTGCTTTTTAGCGTATCTACTTCAAGCTGATCTCAAAAAGTTCTTCTAAATACAGGCTAAGATACCTAAAATTTCAGCAATAAGATCTAATTTGTTAGGTTTGCAGTGACCACACACACCTTTAAATAAGAGCATCTTCTGCACTGAGGTCTAATGTTTACTTATTAAACTGCATATTTTAAAGGCCTTTTATATCTTATTTTTCTACCAATACTACCTGTAACATACCTCCTACTAGAAGAAAACTCTTTTTATTTTTTTTTATTTTTTTTTCAGTCTCACTTGAAAAAAGAACTGTTAATCATTGATTGGAAAGCCTTATGCGCAAGTTTGTGTGTGAACAGATTTCTGAATTCAAGACAAAGTTTGTTATTTGCAACCTTTGCCATCTACACACACAAAAAAGGTGTTATTCTTCACTTATTGAAAGACAGTATCTTAATTATTGACTTACTTAAAAAAGCAAACAAACAAAAACAAAACAGAAAATAATCTCTTTCCACAGCATAATTTACAGACAATCAGCACAGGGACTTCAATGATTTAATCTTGAAAGAGCTATAAGTTTAATGTTTCTGAGGACCTGCCTATTAGTTTATGGTTTAATTTACAAATCAAAGGTTGAACAGATGTTCACAGCCACAACTTCCATTCTGAACATCATTAGTGAAAATTCTACTCTCTAAGAAACGATTAATTTGCAAAAGATAAAAATTAAAACAATGACGGGGATGTCAAAACACATTCCCCAGTTATAATTGCCCAGGTGGCTATAGCAATTTAAGAAACTATCCATGTACACATTTGTGATAAAACTTATGCCATTAGCCTATTCTAGGACACAATCCTATAGAAGTTATGCTGTGTGTATCATTAAACATCCAATATATCTCACTGAACCCAACAAATAAAAGTCATGACTATATAGTATCTTATTCTAAATTCAATTAGTAGTAAAAAAAGGTAAAAATAATGAAGATGAAAAGGAGGAGACTGTTGCCTTTTTTGCCTTTCCCCATCCACATTATGCATGGCACTTTAAAGCTAATGGTACACTACATTCTTAATTCCACACAACATGTATCACTTAATTAACAGGTCTAGGAAGACTCATGGCTTTCAAGTATCACAGCTTCTGTTCATGTTATTTCTCCTGTTATATTTTGGGAAGAAACATAGTTAATTATTTGCACTTTTGGTCTCCCAGTGAATATGAGCTCTGCATTTCTTTTTCAAGTCTCTATCAGACTGCTGCAGTTTGGGAAGTACCTGCAGGTAGTCTCATATGTTAATTACTTCTGTGCAAGCAGGTCTCTAATCTTCCAAGAACTATAAATCTTTTAATAATTACTTTCTCATTTTGCTTGCTGCTTTCTCTATATGGCTTGTTAAGCACATGTTCAGCATACTTTCATTGATTTTCTTTAGACTTCACATTTTCTCAGATCAGTCCAAAGTACAACGGCTCAGAAGGTCATTTGAGGTGCACAATAATAAATATACTGGTGCATGACAGTATTTCTAAATAGTCTTCTATAATGACCTCCTACTGAAAAAAAAGCACCTTCATTAACAACATGAACACTTTTTGCCTGATTATAGTTATTACTTGGTCACAGACATATAATAGCAGTATTTTGAATTTACATGAGTAAAACTACTTCGGCGTTGTTCTTTTTTTATTAATAGAAGGTGGTAGTTAAAAAATATTTTTGAAAGAAACAGGAAACACGAAATAAGTACACTGAAACTAGTAAACAACAGTCATCTAATTTTCACTAGTTAACATTAATTTTCTAAAAAGTGCATTGCAGCAGCATGCTCCATCTCTCAATATGCCACCCTCAGTTCTACTCCATTATTCAGCTGATTTCGTCTCTCCATTTTGCAGGCCCAGTGGAAAGATTCCCATGGGAAGGGAAAGGCCTAGCAAGCTCTGAGTTGGTAAAACCCTTGAAAGGTACAAACAGAGACCAAGTTGATGTTCATAACACCAGCTGCTCTCCAGTGTTGAAGAACAGGGAGCCCAGCCCCGCCACAAGTAGGCCCAAAACAAAGATAAAGTAAGAACGAACAGATAAAAAAAAGAGTTTGCTTGGTGAGAACAGGGCCTTTCTGTTTTTTTTCCTGCTGTTTTCCTTTTTTTTTCTACCATGAGAGATTTTGGAGGTATGGCTAAATAGTTATATGACAGCATCAAACCACCTCATTCTATAAAAGCCTGGTCCCATTTGACTGAAGGGACTTCCCATACATTTTCCCAGGAGCTTGCTGGACCTTCTCTCCAGCAGGGATGCCTGACAGAGAGATTAATTCTCAAGAATTAAGACCTACCCAAGTGTCCTGGTTTGAGCCAGGATGCAGCCAATTTTCTTTTTACTGATTTTTTCTCACTCCAGTGAGCTCTCTTTTAACTAGCAGCAAGTTTTCCAGCTACTGGACTAATAATGCTGGAAAGCTTATGTTACTAATTAGACATCAAGGACACGTGGCTCTACTTGTTGAAACTGTTTAAGATAGAAAGGGAGCAGAAGAGCTGTATCTGCAACCCTCCCTTAGGGAGAAGTGGACTAGATGGACAGCAAAATTGACCCAAGTATTCCATTCCATACTACTACATAAGCTTGGTAGAAGGTCAGGGATCACAGAAGTCAAGCCCCTTTCTTCTTCTTTTCTCTTCTCTTCTCTTCCATCCATGGCTGGCATCATAGGAGGACTCCATCTGTCCATCACTGTTGATCCCCAGGCCCGTGCATTCCTAACCCTAATCACTCTCCCCTCAGCTCCTGTCTGCTCTGCTGCTCTCTCTGGCAGCTCCAGGACATTTCAGAACTGCTCACAGCTCAGGGGATGCTGTGAGAGTTGATGGGGGTGGGGGGATGCAGCAGGGTGTTGCACATTCCTGAACACATTTGTATATAACTGTACATATTTTTCTTTCATCATTAGTATTTAATTAAAGCTGTCTAGTTTTGTTTACAACTGTGAATTCTCTCTCCTTTATTCTCTCCCTCCTCCCTTCCTGGGTGGTACAGGGAGGGGATCAAGAGCATTATTGTTGCTGGTGCAATTGCCAATCTTGAGTCAAACTGTGACACCAGGGACAATTGTCTTCATTAGCAAACTTAACATTAAGTCATCCTCATAATTAAATTTTAAGATTATAGAATCCTTTAAAATTGATAATTGATGTTCCAGGCCTAATATATTACTTGGTAATAAGTAAGTGGTCAGCATTTTAATGGTTAACCTTTATTGTTTGATCTAACTACAAGTAGTAAACTTTATTGTTAAAATATCTTTTCCATTCAAACTACAATTTCTATTCCAATTTCCCAATTTCCCTAAAATTTGACTATGCTTGTGCCTTCAACTTTAAGGAGTTAAGACCCCAATGTTATATTCAATAAATCTTGATATGTGCACATACGTCTCATCTGCTATCTTGTCACATTCAGGCATGGGTTAGACTCATCTGTGTTCTAAAAGAATGAATGATAGAAACTTTAAAAAGCCTGTATCATCATAACTTGTTTCTCCCAATTCTTCAGAAGATTTGTCTCTGAGATCCCTAATCTCCAAGATATTTAAACTGTATGAACCTTCAAGCATATGAATCTTGTTTTTTTACTGAGTCTATAGGAATCCTGTTACACAAACTTACACAGATCTTGAAGGATCTGGGCCCTAATCCTGATATCATTTCATTTAAGCATCAAAAAATCTTTGTAAGATCTGGGCACTGCTGTCAGATGACAAGAGGTCCCAACCAACCTTCATAGGGAAGTATAAGCTTTTAAATAACCTTTTATTGAATGCAGGATAATTAATTCCCTGACAATCTGATTAATATTCTCGGTTACTCAGATCTATAGCAGAGAGTTAAAAAACATCTGTCTTTACAAAAAAAACCAAAACAAACAACAAAAAACAACAAACCAAGAACAAAAACCCAAACTTGTCAACTGATTTTCAGAAAGCAGGGGACTTGAGGGATTTGGGTTTTTTTAATCAATAGCACTGTAATACTTTTGTGAGCAATCTTTAAGTGGTTTCCAACACAAAGAGAACAACAACATTTGATCAATATTAATGAGCTTTGGAATTCAATGGTATGCTTTCCAGGCATTTTTATCCACATTCATATAAAATAATGTCAACAAGATTAATTGCACACTAAAAGTAATAGATCTCTTTACTTTGCTGCTCTTTTGAGTCTTTTTTTTTTTTTTTTTTGTGCAGTTCCAGTGGTATTAGCCAACATATTAAGTATAGTTCAAAATATAACATTCTGTTATTTAACTGAAGTCCCAAGCTGTTTTTAAAAAATATTGCAAGTTAAATTAAAACATAGCAGGTCTTAAATTTTTTAGACGCTGTTACTGAAATCACAGAGATTTTATAGATGGACGAATCAAATAAACGCATCCTCAGTAGAGTTGCAAAGAGACTCA